CTGGTGCTCCTGTCTCCTTGTCCCTGACCACAGGGGCCTGCCTCTCACTGTGGGAGCCTCATCCAGTCTGCCTACACCCCATCCACACATGATCCCCTCGCCCTAACCCGTCGTCGGCAAACCTCGGCTCATGAGCCACATGCAGCTCTTTGGCCCCTTCAGTGTGGCTCTTCCACAAAATATCACGTTCGGGCACGCACGTACAGTGCGATTGAAACTTCGTGGCCCATGTGCAGAAGTCTGTATTTTGTGGAAGAGCCGGTATTTTGTAGAAGAGCCATACTCAAGGGGCCAAAGAGCCGCATGTGGCTCGCAAGCCGCGATTTGCCGAGCTGCAGTTTGCCGACCACTGCCCTAACCCATCCTTTTTCCAGCACAAAGCTGCGCAGGAGGGGGAGACAGGCAGGGGTTCCCACACATCCTCTCTGAGGTGGCCAAGCAGCTCTCCTGTCCCTTCCATGAAGGTTCCCACTCAGGCCTTGACCCCTCAGGCTTATTCTTTATGATAATTCCAGGGTCACGTCTCTACCATTGCAAACGGATCACGTTACAAATCTTCCAGATTCCTCTGGCCACCACAAATCTCCCACCTGTCTGGCAGAGTGCTCCACATTTCATAATCTGCTCGCTTTTCTGCCTCCTTAGCTATTCTTCCTGCCAGATGTCTTTCAGTGTCTCCCTTCCCCCAACTCCGTGCAACATGAGCTCATGTCACCTGCACACACTCGTACATGCACACACGAGCATATACCTGCCAACCATGTTCCTTTCCCTTCTCATCCTCACACCCCCTGTCCCTGTGCCTGAAATGCTTTTTATTCAACTCACACCTTGTTCCAGGTTCTGTTCTGGCCTCCAGTCACCTCCTCCAGGCAGCCTTCCTTGACTTGCTGTGGTTTGCTTCCACAGCACCACATACATCCCACTATTGAAATGCCTACCACCCTGCGTTATACTTCTCTGATTCCCTCCTCTGTGCTGCAAGCTTTTTAAAGCCCCTCTGTGTCTAATGAGGCCCTTGGCGGGTATTTGATAAGTGCTTGTTGGAGGGGAAAAAAAGAGCCAGAACATTGCGATACATGTAGATAAGCCCATATTTTCTGTTTTTCTTTCTCTTAAGATTCTATTTAAAGAAAAAAGAAATAACTACAAAACAAACTCTTGTCCTGCCTTTTGCTTTACCTCAATTTTCTCTTTCAAACACCGTTTCCCTCTTTTCCAGTAGAAGTCACTGCAAAGCCCTTGGTTGAGGGAGGGGTACCTCTGGGTGGGACATCAGGCCAAGTGCGTGCATTTAGGGGGGTCCCAGCCCCAAGAGCCGCTAGCACGCTGAGGACTGCTGTCCGCACTCCCACAGGTGGAAACTGAACCTCAGAGCTCCAGTGACTTCCGCTAAGGTCCCTCTACTTCTATCTCCAAACGCAGTTTTCCTTCCCCCTCCCTCACAGCTATTCCACGTGACTCACTCCTCTGTGGGAAATACAGAGGGGGAGAGAGGATCTGGTCCACCCCCATCCGGGCACTGGTTTAAGTGGGGGACCACACAGGCCATCCTCCGCTGCCCAGCACATGGAAAATGCTATGACATGACTCTTTGTCCAGGAATTGTGTCCAGTC